ATATTGTATGAACCGGAAAATCTTGACAAAAATCAAGGAAAGATCTCACAATATGAAGCTTGAATATTTTTGATATTGTGATCAATTCTTCATACACAACAGACCTTATAAACCTCATCATGAAAATTCCGCATCATATTTTCTGTAGGGTTAGTCAAGAATTTCCTAGTATAATTTTATTGATTTTCATGCAATAAATTTGCAATGCAACCTATATGTAGTCCCGCAGAAGCCATTGTGGTAGTGCAATTTTCAAGATTGTGGTCAACTGATTCAGATTCTAAACCCTTAGAATAGTTTGGCTATATACAGTCAACCCCCACACAACAGACCTCTTGCGCAATGGATTTTTGCACAATGGACCACCTCTGGAGGTATAGTTTTCCTTCATGCACAATGTACTAAATCCACATAACAGACTTCTGCTGGCTTAAAATTGATCGTGAAATGTGAAAATTTTAATTTTTAATAATTGAATTTTCATAACAGACTTTTCACACAACAGAAAAGTCTCTTGCACAAATTAAGTCTGTTGTGCAAACGTTGACTGTAATACAGGTGGTAGCTTGCAAAAAACCTTGCTTAGGGTCAAATTGCAAAGCAGTCAAATTGCAAGACACTTCATTGAATTTAAAAAATATCAGTACAAAAATGTTAAAGTGGGTCAAATTGCAGGGCAATTTTAATTTCTTTTAATTGTGATTAGAAATTTTAATTTCTAATAATTGAATTTGCGTAACAGACTTTTCACACAACAGAAAAGTCTCTTGCACAAATTAAGTCTGTTGTGCAAGCGTTGACTGTAATACAGGTGGTAGCTTGCAAAAAAACCTTGCTTAGGGTCAAATTGCAAAGCAGTCAAATTGCAAGACACTTCATTGAATTTAAAAAATATCAGTACAAAAATGTTAAAGTGGGTCAAATTGCAGGACATCCCCAATATTGAAGACAAAGCAGCAGTAAGAGTTTATTTAAAGCACAAGGTCTTCAGCCTGTTTCTGTGTGAGTTTTAGTTCAATAAACAATTTAGAGAGAATCTTTGATGAGAAATCATATAATCATATAGTTTTGTTGTGACTGCAATTGACTTGTAACAACAAAGTGAGATTTAAAATTTCTTTTGTTTTCAACAGACCCTGATGCTGATTATGACCGGTGTTTTGGGCGTTTTGGTTTTGACATTCAAGTTGACAGAATATGGCGGAGAAATTATGTATGCCATCTGGGTGGTTAGCATATATTTTACAACATCTGGAAATTTTGCTTTGCTGCCAATCGCAACTTCCAGAACGTTTGGGCTCAAGAGTGCTGGTGAAAACTATGGCATGGTATTTTCAAGTGCAGTAAGTATTTAAAAAAAATTATGCATGCAGAAAATAATTTTTTCAACACGTTAGATCACTCAAGTCATTGTAATTTTTGTAGTGGTAGAAAAAGACTCACTTCGAAATTTTAGACTTAAGATCAATCACATTTATGTAAGATTGCAAGAATGTAAACAGGAGAGACATTCTTCAAACATTCTAATGACAATTAATAACAATATATTATATAATATATTTTCCCAGGAAAATTTCCTTCTTTGAAAAAAGTCCTTGTGTTCAAATGAGTGAAACGCTTATTTTTCTGTATTCAATTTATTTTCAAATAAATAAATAATATTTTACGGTATTAAATTTTCACTTTGATGCTTTTTCAAATACAGTAGTCAATTTTAATTGCGGTTTACTCCTCTTGAACAAACTCGGATAATTTTTCTTTGAAAAACTGTGATCCATACCATACGTACAGCGTTTGGAAAACTGCCTTTACCTTATTTTTCGTCCTTTCTCAAGAAAATGTTTCCCTTCAAATGAAATCTAACGCAATTTTTCACCAATTTTTAAGGTGGCAAGTCAAGCCCTGCAATCGCTTATCGCGGGCTTCCTGACTGCAAAGCTAGGGTCCAACGCCGTTCTCTATGTCACAGCATCGTTTCCATTTCTCAGTAAGGTTTTTAAACTGTGTCTAGGTGTCGCTCAAAACACCGTTAATGCATGTTCTTTTCCAGGTTTCCTCATCACGGCGTTCTACCACAAAGAACCAACCCCAGAGAAAGTGAGAAGCCGGATGGGATTACCAGCATATGACGAGTGATTCGTATTTATTTATATTTCATTCTATTTTCCGCTGGTGTTAGAAAATTTTGATTTCAATTTTTGCTCCATTATTGCTGGTGGAGCTTGAGGAATTTCAGGTGCTAGATTTCCTGGTGTGCATTCAGAAAAGAATGGACGATTGTTGTGTTCATTTCAGGTGAAGCGAAGAACAAGATTTGCTTTTTTTTGATTCGGCTGCTTGAGCAGTGATTCTTTTTTATTTCCATCATGCAAAAAAAATTTCATCGGAAATAACTTCCTATATATATAAGACGGTTTGATGCCCAAAAAATAATGATGATGATAATTGTTGATGACTTTTCCGTTCTCACCTCAAGGCCTGACTATGGTATTCTGAAATTTCAAGAGAAGAGAAGTCTGAATCATTTTGGGAAATTAAATAAAGTGGCCCTGTCGTATTTACATAAGCGAACCCATAAAACGTCAATTTATGAATTTCAATGAATTTGCGAACCCAAGTTCATTTTTTGGATTGCGTGTATGGACCCCTCTCTTCTACAAAAAAAAGATTTAAACTTAAAATGGCCTTGATTTCTGCTGATAAAATATTTTTTATGAATGAATGGAGCCCCGCAGGGATTTTATAAATTTATTAAGCCTCAAAAAATCCCCTCACGCATTTTTGTTTCCCCCTGAACTTGGATTAAGTTTCCAATGTGCAAAATTTACTTCCGGCAACCGCGTGTTTCAGCGTGCCGAATTTTTCTGATGACGTTGAATTCCCTATCTCGTTGAAGCGTGGGAAAAAATCGGCAGAAACCTGAGCATGAGATAGAAATAAATAAATAAAAGGGCTCTCGCCAAAAAGGCAAATAGTCAACTCACGAGTCGGGCTTTGTGTTAACAAAAAGACGACTCTGCCGGAGGTCCACCTTTTTCGGCACTATTTGTCCACATGCCCTTCGTTCTTCAGCTTGAAGAAGAAGAAAGGTTCTTCGAAGACTACAGAAAAAAAATGAATTGGGAGCTGAAGTCAATCTGAGATTCCGATGCTGTTTCAGTACATGACCGACCACCGAAGTGCGACCATGTGTTCTGACATTATTCATAGAACGTAGCGATATGTTTTTTCCAAGTTTTTTCATCGACCTTTTAAAACTGGGATTGTTGTCAAAGTATGTCACTGTCAAACTGAGCTGCAGTTGAAATATTTCATCCCGGTGTTTGCTCTGATTTCATAAAGCAGAAACTCTCGAAGAGTGCCCCACTCTTTTAAAAAATATTATAAAATTTTTTCATAGATGTCACTGATGACAAAATTTCCGTGCCTTATCATGGTTACAGTATTATGTTTTATATCTTGATGACGCACACCAAAATCGAATTTTGAGAAAATTTTCAGGGAGAGTAAGAGGATATTGTATGAACCGGAAAATCTTGACAAAAATCAAGGAAAGATCTCACAATATGAAGCTTGAATATTTTTGATATTGTGATCAATTCTTCATACACAACAGACCTTATAAACCTCATCATGAAAATTCCGCATCATATTTTCTGTAGGGTTAGTCAAGAATTTCCTAGTATAATTTTATTGATTTTCATGCAATAAATTTGCAATGCAACCTATATGTAGTCCCGCGGAAGCCATTGTGGTAGTGCAATTTTCAAAATGGTGGTCAACTGATTCAGATTCTAAACCCTTAGAATAGTTTGGCTATATACAGTCAACCCCCACACAACAGACCTCTTGCGCAATGGATTTCTGCACAATGAACCACCTCTGGAGGTATAGTTTTCCTTCATGCACGATGTACTAAATCCACATAACAGACTTCTGTTGGCTTAAAATTGATTGTGAAATGTGAAAATTTTAATTTTTAATAATTGAATTTTCATAACAGACTTTTCACACAACAGAAAAGTCTCTTGCACAAATTAAGTCTGTTGTGCAAACGTTGACTGTAATACCAGTGGTAGCTTGCAAAAAAACCTTGCTTAGGGTCAAATTGCAAAGCAGTCAAATTGCAAGACACTTCATTGAATTTAAAAAATATCAGTACAAAAATGTTAAAGTGGGTCAAATTGCAGGACAAGGGTCAAATTACAAGTCAACCTCCCAGAAAATTCAACAGTCAAATTGTGGGATGGTCAAATTGCAGAAGGTTGAATTGCAAGGTACCACCTGTAGTTATGTTGATCAGGTTTGATTAGGTAAGAACACATTAGGCCCAAACAGGGATGAATGCTGAAGCTTTGTTTGGTTAGTTGAGTTACACTAGGTTATCAAAATGAGGTTAGTTATGCTAAGTCAGGCTAGTTTTGTTGTAAGAGCTGAGTTAGTCAGGCTTGATTAGTTAAGACCATGTCAAAATGGCTTATATATCCTTCCAAAGTGCAAATCTTTTCTGTAATCAATCTTCTGATGGTCATCAGCTGAAACCACTAGTTGAGGTCCACTTCATTTGACTGGTCGCATACTAAAAAATATCCAACCTATTTCCCCCTTATGCCCTTTTTATAAGGCGGAAGTTGACACTACACCCACTTTGCTATTATTGAATGGCACAACTCAGTGGTCGATTGTGTGTGTTATTTGCTCTGTGTGTGCTGGGGAAAAGGCCTTGAAGGAATTCCGTATTCCAAAAGTGATGCTTCTGGTGTGTGTGTGTGTTGAGATGTGGCTTTTTTGTGCGGGATGCTAATAATTTAAGGTGGGTCTGAATGGATTTTCGCGGAGGAAGGAATGGCAGGAATTTATTCTCACGGGGTCGGTGAGAAATTCTCAATTTTTTTTTACCTCCATTTGCGAGTCCGTTGATTTTTGATTGGTAAAGAAATATCTTGGTATTCATTCGGTTTGAGTCGTCGTCGCTGCCGTTTTTTTTTCTTTAAATTTTTATTCGAAGTATTTTAAACTTTTTTTAAATTTTCTGCAGGCGCATGCAGGGTTTGTCGAATATTATTTTTGTGAGATTTTGCATGGAAATTGCGCTGAAATCGTGAACCACTGGCATTTGATTAATATTCCCGGATATAATCAAATTTTCCTTTACAGTACTTTTATTTGTAATACAGTATTTTTTGTCGAGAAACCCGCACGTTGCCGGTACCTGTTTATTTATTCCCACTTTCTCCTCAATTTTTTCTGAAAATAAAAATTCGGGGTGTTTCATGAATTTAGGTGTTTTTATCTTTGTTGGTTATTGATTAAGAAAATTATAATATTCTGAAATTAGCCGAGTTCAAACGTGAGATTTTAAAATGGAAAAAGCAACACTTTATTTTGTCGGTCACGTTCAAACGTTTTAAAATGTTCTAAATTATTTTACCCTCGCATAAAAAATTACTCAATTATGAATCACAATCTTATTTTATATTTTGAATCGATTAAAAGCCTGTGGAAGTGTTCGCGCAAATCTACGCCCAATAGTTCGTCGTGAAAATCAAAAACTTTCACTGTTTTTTTTCTGCATGAAATAAGTCATATTCTGTTTTATTTGAAAATCAGAAACTTTCACTGCTTTTTTCTGCTTGAAATGAGTCATATTTTGGTTATTTTCTTGGCTCTCATAGCAGTAGAATAACTCGATGTTCACTCGGGAATGATCATCTTCATTTTATCTTTCATATTTCAAGTTTGAAAAGGAAAAGTGAAAAGAAGGGGGGAAAAAACCTCAGTAGAAGCCGACTTGTCTATTCCACTCGGTTGGACCTGAATCGAATCATTCCACCAGAAACCAAACAGTGTTCGGCTCTTTTCTTCAGAAGCCGAAAAGTCGGCACAATACCCTTTCCCCGACTTTAAATTTTTTTGCAAATTTTGTTACCTGCTGAGAAAAAAATACGTGGTACAGTAATCCGGTTATGTGGTGATAGTTGAATGATTTTTGAATGTCCCGAAAGACGATTTTCCGCAGGAATTTCCGTGTTCAACGAAGTTTAAAAGAAAAAATAATTTGTTGTTGAAGATACTTCATTTTTTTGCGGGAATCTACGTGATTTTAAATGGACAGGAAAGAGCCAATCTGAAAATTTCCCAGCGATGAGAAGAATGAACAGTTGTTTTATTGGGTCAAATTTTTGCGTGATTATGTACAGGGTATCCGTTTTATTTCGACACAAAACTTTCAAGGTTAAAATTTGATTCATAAGGAAACAAAGCAGAAATTTTTAAATCGACAGGCAACAAAATTTACAATTATTTAGTTTAACGGAATTTGGTTCTTGTGCTTTTTTTCGCAATTTCTGCGAATTAATGCCCGTTCTGTTTCCATTATATTGATCGAGTTTAATCATTATTTTTCATCTGCCTTTCAAGACTTGAAATAATTGGAAAACTCCTGTTTGAGAAGTGGTATTGTGAAATATTTTTTTCCAATCATCTTTTTGCGAAACGGGCCCAAGTTGAGAAGTTAGATTGCTGTCGATTATCTGCTCGTCATCTACCTTTCCTATAGTCGCAGCTGCCTCTCTTTTGTTTGCCAAAAACTATTATTGCCTTGACAGCAAAGTGTTTTCTCTTTTTTGCCGAAAAAGAAAAAAGAAACAGTAACTGTGCGGAACAACGAAAAGAAACAATGAGTTTTTAAACCGGCAGATGGGCTGTCCGTCAACTCGGAGCCAAAATCTGATATATTGCTGAATTCGTAATGAATGAAGTCCTCGCTTGGTTTTGCGTGCTGAAAAGTTGAATTTCAACGGAAAAGTGTCTTGGAAGAAAGTATAACCAGTTCTCAGTGGAACTGCGAGAACATAAAATCACTTATAAATTTAATAATACAGTCCTGTTGAACCTTCACCAAGTTCAATTTGAAGAGACTCCAAAAATTTTGGACTTTATTCTGGAGTTCTTTAGTATTATTATTAGTATTAACTAGTGTTTTCAATGTAAAAAACTTTATACAGTGAGACCCCAAGATGCGGACATAATTGGTGCATCAAGAGTGTCCTCAAGTCAAGTCTTGTTTTCCCATAGACCTACATTATATAATTTTTAATTGGTGTTGTGTGGAAGACATGTTCTTCAGAATTAGAGAAATTCTTCTGCTTTTTTTTTGTATTGATTCTTTGAATAAACGATTGGGAAAGAAGAAATAAAACGGAAGACGGACAGTGAGCTTGGAAAAAGGGGCGCTTCATTAATGTGTGAATATCGGGTTTCGGGTTCTCCTCCGCTTGAACGAAGGAATTCGAATTTAGGGCACGAACCCAAGTCCTTACGGGTTA